TCTTATCTTAATAGGTTTGGATTTAATAGTTTTACTGACTGTAAACGATCTAATTTGTTATCTAGTTATAATTCCAGTTTGAAACAGATTAGATGAAAATTTTGTTAGGAAAGAGTTTATAAATTTATATAATAAATAGAAAAATCAAATAGATGAATAAATTTCATTGTATCATCAATGTACACAAAGGCTTAATGTCAGCAGTTATCTAAATCAATGGGTTCAAACCGAATGATTTCCAAATTCCCAAATTGCATTATCTTACACAATGATTATACTGCTTGGGTGCAATGTTTATTAGAATTATCTAAATGAGGTGACTTAAGGATATAAAAATCAATCCTAGTGAGTCATCTACATCGATAATATTGGCTTTAATCTATCTAGATTAAAGTTGAATTGTAAATGCAATTCAAACACGTAATAGGTGCTTATTATTACCAATATCAAAATGAATGCTGTAAATTAATGATATTCTATTTACCATTAAAAAACAAGCATCATTTATAAGTACCTATGAATATATATATCTATTATGATTACTAATATTAATAGTATCTCTGTTTAGATTACTATATTCTCTTTGAGACTTAATTAATTTTCATAATTCCCTTTTTATTCTAGATCTATTATCATCTAAATGTCAAAAGTTCATACATACACTAAAATCATAATTGAGAGAAACACCTACGATACAGAAAACATTAAATAATGTTTTGCATTCTTAAGTTTGTAATCAATTATTTACAATTATCTTTTATATTAATAATGTAATCATTTTATTAAGTATTAATTGTGATAAAAAATAGATGATTATGATATTTGATAAAAAATTAAAATTCAAGAGATTCAATCGAGGGACTACAATTATTTTGTGTCTCGTATTATATCAATGAAAATATTGTTGTTCCTCATAAACTAGAGGATTTTCTCTTTTCTAAAGATACTGAATAATCCAACGGTTAATACAAACTTTAATTAATTTTAATTATGAGCTTATAAAGCAAATTAATTTAACATAAATGAAGTGAAAATATACAAGCACCCAATTAAATACTTCAATATTTTAACTATATTGAAAATTGTCTATCAGATTGCGCTTTATGTAAATTAGAAATAAATAAAGTTTAAATAATTCTTAATATTAATAATTATATAAGTTTAAATTCTTGTCATGCGTTTTGATTATATTTGGGGAACTAGGGTTTACATTAAAGATATACTTAATAACTTGATAAACAATATTAACTGGATGTGTATGTTTAAGTTTGACCCAACCATTGTACTTTGGATCTCTCATTTTGACTTATATTTCCCATTTACAATTAGAATTGATTTAATTTCAAAAGGAATATCTCTAACTTAACTTGTTTGATTTCCAATACATATTCTCCAAACCTCTCCTTAAAAATTACAACCACTATAAAATTCTACACAAGGCTTTAAAATTTCTATCGTGAATCTCTTAGCCCCCCAAGACTCTAATTTAAGAAATTATAATACCATTATCTATGTTCTCGTCAAAGGTACCTTTTAAAGTTAATTTCAATGAGTTTCTTCCTTCTGGTAAAGTAAATACATAAGATTTTGAATCGTACAATTCTGGATAAGTGGAGTTGAAACACATATAACTTCCTTCATAAGGAGTGTATGTAAAAGTATCTA